AGTCACACCTCCTTCCCATGCTCATCAAGGAGTTGAGGGGGAGTCAGTTACCCCTCCCACCCAATCAGTCCACCTTAGCTGCACGTGGGAGTGGGACTAAGGATATATAAGCTGAGAATGCCAGGAGGCGCCTTTTTCACCATTTTCTGCAGCTGTCGGGAGGTCACAGGATCTATATTTGAGTGTGGACTTTCCAGTGCAGCCATAAATGGGGGCGCCCACTCCTCTGTAAATAAACCCCCACCCTATGCTCTGTTTAAAAAAAAAGAAAATGATAGGTGGATAGATAGATGAGAGGGATCTGACCAAACCACAAATGGATGGACTTGCACTGGGGAATGTCTGGGGACACTGACTTGACACAGTGGGCCTTAATACCCAGAACACAGTATATGGGTTGCAGTTTTTCTCCTAACATGAGAAACAAGGCAAGCATGTCTTATCATACTTTTATTAAATTTTATACTAGAAGTTCTATCCCATGCTCCTCAGCAAGAAAGATATAATATTGAGATTTAATTAAATTAAACCATTATTTACAGACATTACACACACACACACACACACACACACACACACACACATACACACACACGCACACACGCATGCACAGGAATCCTACATGGTCTACAAAAAAGCTACTAAAATAAGTAAGTTTAACAAGATTTTTAAGATACAAGGTTAATCTACTCTTCTCCTCAAAACATCAGTATTTTCACGTAACTAACAAGCAAGCAGAAACTGAACTTTTAAAAAAAAGCATCAAAAATACTTAGAAATTAATATGAAAAATGTGTAAAGCCAGTATACTAAAAACTATACCACTGTTGCCAATTACAAAGACAGACCAGCAAGATCAAGAGCAGAGTCAAACATCAAAGTAATGCAACATCAAAGTAATGGAGTAGGAAAGGATAATCTTTAGTAAGTAGTGCCAGTGCAAATTAAGGACCATATTCAAACAAATGAACCTCAACATTTATCTCCTATCACATACAAAAACATATCACAGATCTAAATCAAATAGCTAAAATTATAAAAATATAGAAAAAAAGTATAGGAGAAAATCTTAATGATCCCAAGTTTGGTGGATGTGGTGGTTTGAATAAGAATGTTCCCCATAGGCTTCAAGTATTTGGACATTTTGTCCCCAGTTGGTGGCTCTGTTTTTGGGAGGTCTTGGAAGGTGGTCATGCTGGTGGAAGCATGTCGCCGGGGGTGGGCTTAGAGAGTTCTTAAGCCTTGCTGGATCTCCAGTCACTCCCTACTTCCTGTGCCTGCTTGAAGATATAAATGCTTAATACCTTCTGCTCCTACTGTAGCCACCTCTGCTGCCATGCCTCCCCACCATGATGGACTCTTGCCCCTTTGGAACTATAAGCTAAATAAACTCTTCTTTTTATAAGTTCCCTGATCATGGTGTTTCTATCACAGCAACAGAAAAGACAGCAGATTTAAGACTTCTTTTGTGTGTGCATGTGTATGTGGTATGTGGATGTTCTCACATCCAATTGCTCATGTGTGTGGATGCCTACCCAAAGAAGAGGGTATCAAGAGCTAGATTTACAGGCAGTTGTAAGCCACCTGACCTGGGTGCTGGGAACTAAACTCAAATCTTCTGGAAGAGCAGCAAGTTCTTAACCACTGAGCCATCTCTCCAGCCCCTGACAAAAATTTCTTAAACCTCAAAACAAAAGCAAAATCCATAATTGATAACTCATACTTAATAAAAATCAAGAACTTTAACCAGGAGTGGTGATACATGCCTTTGATCCCAACATTCAGGAGGCAGGGGCAGGGGGATCTCTGAGAGGAGATCCTGGTTTACATAGCAAGTTCAGCTGGGGCTACAGGGAGACTCCATCTCAAAAAAGACAAAAAAATAAAATAAAATAAAATAACCCTCAAAGTTTAATAAGGCCTTTTCATGATAGATAACTTTTTTAATCACTTTAGTTTTTTTAAAAATCTTTTGATTTATTTACTTTAATTTCATGTGTATAGGTGTTTGCCTGCATGTATGTAAATGTATCTGTGCATGCAATGCCTGTGGAGAACAGAAGAGGACATCAGATCCCCTGTAACTGGAGTTTTGGGAGACTGCTAGCTGCCATGTGGCTGCTGGGAACCAAACTGAGGTTGTCTGCAAGAACATCCAGTACTCTTAACTGCTGAGCATTCTCTCCAGCCTCAAATCACTTTAGTTTTTGACAAAATTGTTTTAACACCTGATACAAAATTCTGAGCAATATTAAAGTCTAAGAATAATCCATAGTAGCCATCCCATACTTTTGACCTCAACCAAATTATACAATGTATCAGTATAAATGAAAATACTATAGCCTTCTCTGCCCTGGAAGCAGCTCTCCTACCTTGGCTCCTTGCCTCTGAAAATGTATGCCTGCACCAAGTTCATCTCTACCCACTCCTTGATCAGGAGCACCTCTCAGCTACTGAGTTGACCTCTATCTGCTGTGATGTTGAACCTACCAGAGAAACTGGCAGATGAAAGCCTCAGCAGCTTGGCAGTCCCATGTCCCCTGCCCTCACTCGTCCCTAGCCACAGCTTCCAAACCAGTGCCATTTCAAGGGACATCAACATAACAGCCAAGTTCATTAAGGCTGGGGCTACCACAGTTGGGGTGGGTGGCTCTGGGGCTGGGACTGGAACTGTATTTGGGAGCCTCATCACTGGTTATGCCAGGAACCCATCTCTGAAGCAACAGCTCTCCTACACAATTCTGGGCTTTGCCCTCTTGGAGGCCATAGGGCTCGTTTGCCTAATGGTGACTTTTCTCATCCTCTTTGCCAAGTGAAACAGCTGTTGCCACCTTCCATAGTTCTTTCTCCCATGTCTCATCTGCCCTGTATGTTCCTTTTCTTGTACTTCCCCAGGAAGTCTGGGAAAAGTGGTTGGCTCAGGGTTTGACAGAGAAGACAAATACGGTATTACGAAAAAAAAAAAAAAATACTATTATAAAGGTACATTAATGTTACTATTCTGAGAACTAAGGTTTAGAATGAGGGAAAGGCGTATCTAAATATGCAAGTCTCTGTTAGAAACAGTGGAGTAAAACAGAACCTAACCATCTAGAATAAAATTCAACAAGCACAAAGGAAAGCTTCATCCAGGAAAGGGTTTTGAGGTGCTCATATCTTAAGAAAGGTAGGTTCAATACTGACTTACATTGATCCAAAATGTACAGCATTTACCAAAGTTTTTTTGGCATAAGTAAATATCTAATCAAAATACTCACTCTATTCATAGAAATGCCTGCCAAGAAGGTAGTGCTTTGTTCTGAGCAGACAAGGTTTGAAAGGGATTTCAACTTTAAACTAATTCCTAAAACAGATGCTTAATATGATAAACAACATAAGAACTTAGAAAGGCTTTGAGTCAAGTTTATTTCCATACTGCAACCCAATGTAAAAGCAAAAGTCAGTCATTGAAGGAGATATCCACATTTTGTCAGAAGGACGATTATTTGTTCATCATTTCTCACAAAGGCAAGAGAACCTTCAACTTGGGTTTCTGTTTTCTTGGCAGGTAAGACAAGCCACAAAAACAACAAAACACACTACATACAACGTTCTTCCAAATTTTAGGCCAAGAGTCAAAATGCCAATGTTACAAATCCATCAAAGTTCACAGAAGCAAATGTCTAGTTGTTACTCCCTCCTGACCTAACCAATATAAAATGGCAACAGCATATACATATACCATACTAGAAATAATAGGTAGCTATGTAGAGTCAAAGAATAGTATATGTCATCAGTTTTTGAAACTTAATTACACTAATCCTATCTATTATTAAACCAAGAAAAGGCTACATTTTTTCCTTAAAATGTAAGCTTTATTTAAGTTAGTTTACTAAAAGATAAAAAGGCATTAAAAATGTAACACTTTAGAAACATTTTTTCAAGATGCATTACAGAACATTTCCCCTGCCCTAAAAAAAGAAACTGTCTACAAAGATTGACAAATAGAAACATTTCTCTATTCCTCATGTCCTCACAAAATATTTGTTACTTTCTACTGGCAATATAAAACATTTCACAAATCACTGTAATTTAATGAATATGGTATGCAAATGCCATAAAAGAATCACTAAGAACTAAATCTGAATGGAATAATTCTTAACCAGGCTGATAATTGTGAGTGCATTACAAATATTATGACATGATAAAAATACAAACTTATACTCACTATAAAAATATACTGTATACTCTGCGTGTTCCTATCCTTATCCTCTCAAATAAGGAAATAAAAGCCTGCAATTATTTCTCCCAAATACAATAATAATGATACATATAACATATGTCCTTTATTAGGCTACATGGCTTAATATAGCACTTATCCTATTTAAAGATGGTTACTGAAAAATATCATAATTACCAACTAAAGATCCAATCTTCTTTTCAGTCAACACTCATCCCAAATGACTTTCCTGGTTTTGAAAGTTGGAGATCACTCTCTGTCTTGAAGCTTTTTCTTATCTTATAGACCAAATTTTAAATACGACAAAGGAAGGTATATGAAGTGGAGGGAGAAGACAACATGCACTAAATGTCTAGTATGTGGCAAGATAGCTTGTTAACTACTTGTATGTACTATCATTATTTCTTTTCAAAATATTTTATTATTTTTATTTTATGTGTATGAGTATATTGCCTGCATGTGTGTAAATGCACTGGTGTCATGCAGTGCCCACAAAGGTCAAAAGAGGGCGTCGAATTCCCTCTGGAACTAGAGTAATGGACAATTGTTAGCCACCTTGCAGGTGCTGGGAATCGAGCCCAGGTTCTCTGCAAGAACAGTCAGTGCTTTTAACTACTGAACCATCTCTTTCCAGCCCCTGTACTATCATATTTCAGTTCACTAAAATTATGAACTATATATTAACTGTCATTTTAGAGATAAGGAAGCTGGGGTACAGAGAAGTTATGGAACATCCAATACCTCACAAATAATAAGTGACTGTGGTTCTTTTAAGTCCCCTAAGGGGTGGACTATTCCTTCAATACTGAGTCTACACATGGAATGAATGTATAGCAAACTCCTATTCCATTTCCCTGCTCTATTACACTATATATAATACATTGTACTTGGAAAGAGTACATATCACATATTAAACTGGTAAGAACAGATGCTACAACTGATTTGGTCAAAAGGCTAAGCAATTAGTCTGGAATTTGGACATAAATTAAGTGCTGGGGACATGGCTCAGTGGCATAGTGCTTGCCAAGTTTGTGGTTTGGTCCCTAGCAACACAAAAACAACAAAATAAATAAATAAACAAATAAATAAATAAATAGCACAAGCTAAGTTCAACTACAAAATTTAAAATCTTACTAAGTCCTGCCAAGTTAAATACTAGACATTCCAAGAATAAAATGCAGAAGTATACAGAAAACTCTTTCCAGAAAGGCAGGTCATTACACTGTTTGACAGATAAAACAATATAAAAAAAATATTATTAATAAAGAGCAAAGCCAAAGGATAACCCAGAAACTAGAACAAAAATCTCTAAAAAATTTATAATGGACAGCACAGTACTGGTTTTTTAAAATACAAACACCTCTCACAAAAAAAAAACCTGCACATATTTCAACAGAATAATTGAGGGGGGGGGAGTCATGACTAGGCAAGTTACAAAAATGCATACAGAAGCCGCCAAAAATGTGGAGAAAAAAAATCTTCATTAGCAAAACATTAAATATTTTAAAATATGTATGACTATTCTCAAAAAGGCAAATCTTAAAGTGAATTAAGAATTAGGGAAAGGCCAGGCCTGCTGGCAAACCACCTTTAGTCCCAGCATTCAGGAGGCAGAGGTAGGCAGATCTCTGTCAGTCCTAGGCCATCTGGTCTACATAGCAAGGTCCAGGCCAGCTGGGACTATCGGAGACCCAGACTTAAAAAGACCAAAAAATAAAAAAAGAGTTTGGGAAAACAAGCATCGTTTACACAAGTGGTGACAAAATTTTTTTAGGGATACTGAGAATCTAACTCAGGACTTCATGCATGCTAGACAATCACTCTGAGCTATGTGTCTTCGGCCCCCTGGCATTAAATTTTATACAGCATTTCTAACAGATAATCCAACAGGATTCATTAAAACTGTAAACATGTAATTGTTTGACCTAGCAAGTCCACTTCTAGAAATTTATCCTTTAAAAGTGCTCAAAGCAGGGGTGGGGGAGGTAATTCAGTGGGTAAAGTGCTTACTGCACAATCATGAGGACCTGAGTTTGGCTCCCCAGCACCCACATGAGCCCTAGGGGAAGAGTGAGAAAGAAACTCCAATAACCTCTGACCTCCAAACACAGTGAGCATGCCCATACACACACATGCACATGCATATACACACAAAGGTGCTCAAAGACATTTTTATATAAGTTGTTTCACTGTTAGTTTTGATAACCATCAAAAATCCAGAAATTATCAACTACCAGAAGATTGAATAAACAGTTTATCAATAAAGTGAATTAAAATTAAGTCATTAAAAATCATTAAGTGTGGGGCTGCAGAAATGACTCAGTGGTTAAGAGGAGCTCTTGCAGAGGAGCCAGGGTCTGTTTCTAGCTCTCACATGGCAGCTCACAACCATTTGTAACTCCTGTTCCAGGAGATCCAATGCATACTTCTGGCCTCCTCGGGCATTACATGCACAGGTGGACTTACATGCATGTAGGCAAAAAACTCATAAACATAAAATAAAAATAAATCAAAAATTTTTTTCTTAAATTATGAAGTGTAGAAACATGGAGCTGCTGTGGATATTTCAAAGTTAAACAGAATTACCATGTAACCCAGCAATTCCATTCTTAAGTATAAACCCCCTAAAAATGAAAATATATGTCCCAACAAAAGCCATTAATGTTTCAGCAAAAGTACTTACAATCACCAAAAGTGTCCACATTCACATGAAGGCATTTTATTTAGCCATAAAGAGGAATATGGGCTGAGCATGCAGTTCCATTGTAGAATGTTTGCCTAATATGCAGAAAGCCCTGGGTTTGATCCCGAACACCACATAAACTAGAAATAGTGACATACATGCTTATAATTCCAGCACTTAGATCAGGAATTCAAGATCATCCTTGACTACATAGAAAGTTCAAGGTCAACTTCTCATACATTGAGAGCCTGTCTCAAAAAACCAACCAACCAAGAATGAATCCATGTGTAGCATATGGATTAATCTTGAAAATATGCCTAGAATAAGCAACCCATAAAAACAAAAAGTAGTTGGCAGCTGCCAGCAGACAAGGGAATTAGAGCTGATATTTGATATCAAGTTTCTCTGGGGAGTGATGGAAATGCTGTGCATATATAATATTTTCACTACATAGTAAATATACTAAAATCATTGAGGTACACTTTACAATAGAAATTTAGTGTTCTCTAATGTGGTACATATTTTTAATACTATAAAAATTTAAACTAAGGTATGCCTATTGATATAAAATTGACGTTTTAATAAAAACACAAATTTTAAAAACAGTATATACAATGATTCTATTTATGCTTATGTGGAGTTTGTAAAAACACTGCTCAGAAATAGATAATATATTTTCTATTTTAAGACACTAACAGTCTTAGTCACCATAAGATAGAATAACCAGGAAGTTATGATCCTTGTTATCAATTCAATTTTTTCTTTAACCAAAGACACATATTACTTCAAAAAAAAAAAGCATGAAACAACACAAAGTATTACCATCTGTAAAGAGAAGCACATTACTAAGACAAAAATATACCTAAAAAACAAATAAAGAAAATATAAGCATAGGTGATTAACCTGGGGTCCATAAATATCAAGGAATCTATGAATTTGTATAAGAAGAAAATTTTATCAGTTTCTGCTAAAATCTAGTCAAAATACAGTATCTTTTTCACATAGGTCTAAATCTGCACAGTAGTGACAGTGATAATTATGATTTCTGTCAAGAACAAGTTTCATGTCACATTATAGTTACTACAGAAATCTCAGAATATTTTCTATATCATTATTATTTCACTATTATGGTAGTCATTAGACTCACTACTAGGATCCTTTTACTTAAGTCCACTGATAAAGAAGCACATATACCTTTATATCACAAATGTGTTTTTATTTATTTTGGTGTTTCAACATACCAGGGCTTTTTGTATGTTTTGTTTTGTGATAGAGTTTCATGTATCCCAGGCTGGCCTCCAACTCACTAAGAAGTCAAGGATGACACTGAATTTCTGATCCTCTTGCTGCCATCTCCCAAGTACTGGGATTACAGGTGTGTGCCACCACACTCAATTTTAGGTAGTGCTAGGGATAAAACCCAGAGTCTTGTGTTGCTAGGTAGCACTCTACCAACTGAGCTACATACCCACTGCAACAGGTTTTTTTTTTAATTCCAATTTATTCTTTTATTCACATTAATTATTCTACAAAGGAACCACAGCCTTCTCCAGACTGTCAATGATATATACCAAAACAAGCAAAAGTTAGAACCTCAGAAGTATGCAGGCTGGGGAGCCAATACTGAACAAACTCAATTTAATCAAAGATTAAGCAGGATCTATATTGAAGAAACAATGCTAACATTCTAGTAGAAATCACATCACCTCAGTGTGCCTAACAAAATTCTTAATTTCCTTCCCTCAGCTGTTTCTTCAGAATTTTCTTACTTGTCTCTGAACTTTCTCCTTCATACTCAATAACCAATGTCTCAAGAGCTTTCACTTTCATCACAACCAACATAAACCTATTTCTTGACTTAACACTTTACGTTTTAATTTTTTCCTTTTTCTTTCTTTCTTTCTTCTTTTTTTTTTTTTTAAGGCAAGGTCTCACTATGTAGCCCTGGCTGGCCTGGAACTCACTATGTAGACCAGGCTGGCCTCAATCTCAAAGAGATCCACCTGCCTCTAGTACTGGGATATTTTTGTGTGGCGGGGGGGGGGGGTGTTTGTAGCTTTTGTACATTTTATATTTCTAATTTTTCTTTTGGTATTTTTGAGACAGGGTTTTCCTGTAGCCCCAGCTGTCCTGGAATTTGTATAGACCAGACTGGCCTCAAAATCAGAGATCCACCTGCCTCTGCTTCCTGAGTGCTGGGATTAACGGCATGAGCCACGACGCCCAGCTATACAGTTCCTATTTTTTTAACTCTTAAAAAAACAAAGTCTCTCAGCTGAAGAGATGACTCAGCAGTTAAGAGCACTGACTGCACTTGCAGAAGACCCAGATTTGGTTCCCAGCACCCACATAGCCGCAAACACCACTCTGTAACTTCAATTCCACGGGACTCCACCCCTTTCTGGCCTCTGTGGGCACTACTACACTCATGTGGTGTACCTATATACATGTAGGCAAAACACTCATACACATAAAATAAGAAACAATGTTTCTAAAAAGCCCCTTCTCCTCCCATTCTCATCTCAACTGATTACTCATATCAGATTGATATTCTTAAAATAAATTTCAGACTAGAGTATAGTTCAGCCATAGTGTTCACCTAGCATATGTAAGGCCCAGGTTCAATCCTAGCACTACAAAAAAAAAAGATGAGGAAACTTTAAACTGCAACCAATCTACTAAAAACCATTCAATGGCTCCCAATGTCTTTAATACTAATAATTATGATATTTTAAGAGTACATTTGCAGTTATGTGGTTAACTAATAAATGCCCTCTAAGTAAAACCACATCACAACATAAAATTTGGGTATTAATAAGAGATCCCTGTTTGTATATTTTTTAAAATACCTGCTGCCCTAGACTTGAAATCTCTGTATCAATAACCTAAAGATAAAATTAAAATTTCTTACCTAGACATTCATATCTTCCATAATCATGCTCTAAAATGCCTTATTATTTATTAGCCTCACCTTCCTATTCAAGTCCTGTAAGTTAGTCGGAAGTTAACTTCCCAAAAACTTGACATTTGGACTCCATCTTTCTGCAGCTACATATTTGTTAATATAATTTGAACAGCTTACAATGGCAATTGATTATAAATTTCATACATGCTGACTAAACCCTTACTAGATGCCAAATATTAAACTGTCCCTACTATGTTTCAAACACTTGAGCCATAAAGATGAAGTATACATCATCGACATCATCTCTACTTTTAAAAAAAAAAATCACATACTTCCTCTGCTTCCCTGGGCCCATGGCCAAAAAAGTAAACCACA